ACTTTTACTGTTATAATTTATTCAAGTTCGGTGGGCCGGATTTAAAAAAATTAAAGGACCATATTTGGCTCCCGGGCCGTAGTTTGCCCACCCCTGGCCTAGAACCTTATGCTCCAGCACATCCACTGTGAAGCAAACCGAAAACTGAAACAAGACTGGGATTTTCAAATATTTAGTCCTGTCAGAACATTTAGCCAGCTCCTCTGTTGTTATCAGTGATGCCTGTTGGCTTGGAGCAAGAGTGACTGGTGTCCCTTTGGCCCAGGCTGAGTGCTGTCCTCTCCCACTCTCTAGTCCCTCTCTGGTCCCCTTTTGGTCCCTCTCTCGTCCCTCTCTGGCCCCTCTCAGTACATGGAACAGGGCTGCTATAGGAGATGAATAGATATCATTAATGGCATTCATCTGTTTACGTTTGGGACATAATTCTGGAGCCCTGAACCCCCCACGCACACAGGAAATGAGCGTTATGCCTGAGAACTACTTCTACTGATGCATTTTAACAGGTTCAAGCTTATAACTCCTCTTCAAGATTCAATGATTTATAAAAATAAAAAGATACATTTTAGTGCAGGAGCTGATCACTGCTGTATCCAGGGTGATTTTATTAGGCCTATATGTTCTGCACATAAAATAGACTTCTGGGAGCTTTTAACCATGCAACAATGAGCTCTTATTACTCAGAGTTATATTTTGATTTAGAGATTGTAGTTTTTATGTTGATACATGAGTAAACATTAATTTGCCCTCTTCTCACTAATTACTGTTGATTATTCCAAAAACTTAGTCTACATTTTTCAACAATAAAGACAAATAAATGAATATCTGCTGCTTATTATTATGATAATTATTTTCTGCTTATATCTGCTTTTGTCTGTCTTGTTTTCTCTCTTGTCCAATTATCTAATTTCTTGCTTTAACCATAGGCGTATGAGGATGTAGGGTCTCTCCGGTCATCAATTTTAAACAGAAAGTCAATGGACCCATTTCTATTATTAAACCAAAATGTAGATTTATGATTCACATATATGTTATTATAGCACAACACACACTACCACACTACAATATGGGTCTTATTTGGTGGAAGCAAACTTGTTTATGCAAAACACTTGTCATATTCAAACTTTGAACAAGTAGTGGTTTAACAAAGAAATATTGTTGCTAAAATGTGTTTGGTTCTTAAAAAACAGCAGAGTATCAAGTGCAGTGTATCGATTATTGCATGTAGCTATCGCCATATTGTGATAAAATTGTATTATGAGCCAAGTATTGTGTATTGTATCGAATCCCTAACCAGGCTGGCGCCACCTAGTGCCTCCACTCAATTTCATTTCTCTGCAGTGACTAGCTAAGGAATCGAAATACACTAGACGATTTGTAAGAACCACGGAAGTTGTAGACCACGCACCGGCCCATCTGCGAAGAGCTGTGAAGCCATGACGTCAAACTCAAACACCTGTCTGGGTACCTTTTGTGGTACAGCACAACTGTAAACAAAGAGGTCGAGATGGATGTAGACGAAGCCATACATTCTGTGTTGGGAATGATTCCCGAGATCGAAGATTTAAAGCCTGAACAAAGAGAATGTTTGATGAATTTTATCATGGAGAAAAATTTTACTGCGCTTCTTCCTACGGGATTTGGGAAAAGCTTAATGTACCAGTTAGCCCCGATAGCGATGCATTGCATACGACCAAATATCAGCGATTGATTAAATAAAAAAAGTACCCGCCTACTGTCGAGCGAACGAATCCTAATGGTGTGGGTTTAGACGGCTTCCACAAAGTGAAACTGACTGATGAATCAGGCTATTGAATCCCAGCCATAATATTAAATACACTATGTTGCAAATGGGCCCACAGCAACTAACAGCCTCCCTTAAATTTGAACTTGGTGCATTCCTCATTATATAAGATGCTGTGGGCTAGTCCCCTCTCCAAAATGAGCCAGTATGCTTGTATAATTATTATGTGTTTACAGTACAAATATTCTAAATGTTCTCATTAGTGAGAATCAGCGATGCACCTTAAACAACATTCAAACTGAGCTTGTGTGGATTCAGAGCAGATGGTGCAGCAGCAGGGCCTGACTGACACTGTAAAACAAAACAACTAAGTCACAACAACATAATTTACACTGTATGGAAAATACTGACAAAACTGAACAGCCATAACATTATGATCACATACAAATGAACACGTCAGGTTATCTCTTCATCAGATATTGTTGATGAGATATTGGTGCCCTTACAGTGAAATTTGACAAAAGACAGTCGCAAAACAAGAAGGTTCTGGGTTCAGTTCCCACACTGGGTGGGGGTCTTTTCAGTTTTGGCTCAGACCTAACTGTCCATCACCTCAACATTATTTTGTTCTATAATAACAAATAAAGCTCTTGCATTTGCATTTTGGTCTGATACAGACTGTAATTGTTAAGGGAATTAATACTAGTAAAGGCATTAGGTGGCGCCTATCTAGCAATTAGATCAGGAATCAACATACACTAGATGATTTGCAAGAACCCCGGAAATTGAAGACCACGCACCAGCCAATCAGCAAAGAGCTGTGAAGTCATGACGTCAAACTCAAGCACCTGTCTGGGTCCCTTTTGTGGTACAGCACAACAGTAAACAAAGCGGTCGAGATGGATGTAGACGAAGCCATACATTCTGGGATGACAACGATTCCTGAGATCGATAATTTAAAGCCGGAACAAAGAGAATGTTTGGTGAATTTTATCAAGGGGAAGGGGATTTGACGCATTACATACATCATGACCAAATAGCAGCGATTGGTTAAATAAAAAAGTACCCGTCTACCGTCGAGCGAACAAATCCTAATGCTGCGAGGTCAGACAGTTTCCATGAAGTGAAACCGGCTGAAGAATCAGGGTAGCCCAAAATAGCCTATCTTGAAAAACATGCATTCTTACTGTGAGTGGGGTCACCTTTTCACAAATCTGACATGTAACTTTGCCTTTGAGGTCACTTGCTTGACTCCATGGAGATAATCAGATATGTTAAATACCAAACTGTAAAGCACATGGAAACATGTGGCAGACGCTCCACCAGAAAAGTTACAAAGTGCAGCTTTATTTTGCAAGAGTGTTTGGTTAGAACTGACCAATAATGTAAATTTAGTTAGGTTTTTAGTTTAGTATTAAAACAATGCAATCAGATTTAATGGTGCATTATGTGACTTTTGGTGGAGGACTTTTTTTCTTTATTGAGATGCTATTGCTTTGCATGGTATGTTCTACTGTATGGCATTAAAAGTCTGTTCAGCCCTTGTTTCATTAGATGTGACTGTATTGATGTGCATTCCGGTCTTGTGTGAGCAGCCCCGCCTCTCCACCGAGCTGATCTGTACCTTGGCCTGCTTGCCTCCGTGGAGACAGATAAGTTTAATGTCTTTGTGCGAAACATTCCAGTCTGAACCACTAAAAGTGCATTGTGTAACTTTTCTGATGGAAGATGTTGCTTTTCTCCATGGAGATTTCACTGCCAAAATGCTTCACAGTATTATTACACAGCATTAAAACTTTCTATCTTTATGGACACCAGGGATGTAGTGGGCGTGGTGCACAAGGGTACAGGGTCCACCCACTTCTCCCAACGTGAGATATAAAAAAATAACAAATATAAAATAGCTACAACTTAAATGTCAAACCGGAGCTATTGGCAATGGTGAAAACAAACTGCATAGGCTCATAATATCTGCACTACTGTCCTATAGTGACTTGAGACATGATTGGACCAGGACTGATCACAGAACTGAACCAGAACTGAAACAGGACTAAAACAGGATTAAACCAGGACTAAACCAGAACTGAACCAGGACTGACTGTCAGGACGGACCGGGACTGTCTATTGACTGCAGGTAAAAGGACTGGTACAGGGGCACTGCAGTTGCCCGATCTAGCTTTGTGGACACCCTGCTCTGTGGGTTCGGGGTTCTCTCTCTTGCTCTCTCTTTATGTTTGTGCTGAAAGTGAGTTTTTTTTTTTTTTTTTAAATAAACAATATGTATGACACCTGTGTGTATTTTGGCATGTCAAGTTGAGTGCACAGCTTTTGGGGTGGGGGTGAATGGGGGTGGGGGTGGTCGAGATTCATCACATCAGTGATGGAATCACTTACCCCCACTTAAAAAAATCCCACTACACCGCCGATGGTTAATGTCAGGATTAAACCCACCACACCAGGTCAAGTTACAGGTCAGATCTGTGTAGACGCAACCGCGCTTTTGAGCAATAAAACCACCTGTAATAGAATAAATGTCAAGGAGATCTGTTTAATGTGACAGGCCCCCCAACCAAAAAGTTACATTGTGCACCTTTAAGTAGGCTACATCTACATAGAGACTAGCATGTTGCAAGAAAATGTACGCAGTGCACCTTTAAATGAACGTTTACAACTCAGACTGCACTGGTAAATACCGGTGGGGGATGCCATGCTACCAGCTCAAGTGCCTGAGATATTTAGGATCGCCCTCTCCTGAGTGTTCCCCACACAATAGGCCTGTGCACCGGGCTCTTATGGCTCTGCGGGTGGAATGTGTGGAAGTCACAAAGAATCCTTAGGTTCTGGCTTTCTGCAAACACGCCACAAGATTAACTGTGTCAACACTCACGGAATCTCTCTCTGTCTGTCTCTGCTGCTGACTACATAGTCCAGTCCTCTCAGGGCAACCAGGAGCCGAGCCAGCGCCGCAAACCACGTGACAATAGGCCTAAAAACTCCGCTACGTATCTCTGGCACAGCGGCACGGAGCTTTAACGCACCAGGTATATATATAGCCGTGTAAATCACATAGTGTTCACTGTATGGAGGTATAAATAAAACACGCTCTATACAGTGATAACTATTTACAACATGGCGTAAATTCCCAGCGGAGCCTAAAGAGCCCATCTCATCAGTGAGGAAGAGGGGGAAGGGGGAGGGGCTGAGCCGGCAGTCCGTGAAAAGGTGCTGCGGGACGATTACAGACAAGTGCGCCCGACTTCAACCCGGGGAGTTTAAGCTGAAGTTTGTTTTTGCATTTCTCAGACTGGATTATCACTTGGCACCACTTTTGCGCACAACTCTACAGTGTGTTTTATTTTGAAGCGCGCTGAATAAGTCCCCACTCTTGAGTTTGAGTTTACGGAGGCTGCAGCAGAACTTTCCCTGGAGTCTTCCCTAGGTCCGTATTCACTTCTAATCACATCAGAGGTCGTCAAGTTACGCACGGACACGGAGCGCAGTCACGTAGCTCCAAACCCGGGTAACTTGGATCTTACCACTCAGCATCTTTGGCAACTCTGGGGAGAACTTGTGTTGAACTTGTGCTGACTTCAGTGATTATTACACCTCGTTGTGCATCTGCGTGGAGAGAGAGCGCGCGAAATGAATGTGGGTTTGCTGATCGGGACTGCGGTGGCGCTCTTTCTGCTCCTCACACCTGCGCAGGTAAAGTCGCATTTCACAGGGAAACGCGAGTTCTGCCAGTTGAACGTACCAGTGTTTTACTTTTATCACAAGAAATACTTGAAGTCGTTGTTTGATTAAAAAGTTTAGAAACGTGCTTAGAAGTTTAGAAGCATGGGTTGACCCTGAGGTGCGTTCGACATATGAAACGTGCTCGCCTGTGATGCTGCTGCTGACTCACGGTTACTTTTGGCTAACCTCACTAAGCCCATAATTACAGACGCATCCACTGCACAGCCTCTTGGATCAGCTTTCTCCCTGTACATTTCCATTGAGGAGGCACAGAGGTAGGCTACACAGAATAACCCAATGCTACCAGAGAATTTCTATTATCAAGTGTGAAAGACTTGTAAGTACAGACACGTTCGATGTCTGGCCCAAGGGCAGCTCAAGTGCCAATTGTATACAGTTGGTATGCATTACTAAATGTGCATGCAGGAAATAACTTGCTTTGAATACAGATAATTGGGTCTATACAATGAAGCAGCGAAGTCTTTCTCAGAATAGAATAGAAAAGTTTAATACACAATATCGTTTGACGAAATCATTCCTATTTTGACATCACAAACATTGAGAGGCAAAAATGTAACCTGAAGATGTTATTGTTATGGTAATGTTCCACAATATGGCATGAAACTCTCACATTTATTTAAAAGTGTTTGCAGAAAACATGTTTTGTTACTGTGAATAACTTTCCACAAACCTGACCTGCAACTCCACTGCAACTTGTCTTCTTGAATAGGCCTATTGATAGGTTTAATGCCATACTGGGTAACATTCCAGACAAAGCAATAACATCTCCATGGCAACAAACAGGTGGCAGACCCTGCTCCAGAAAGCAAGTATCCCTGTAAAGATAAGATATTATCACAATTGATTTTTTTCCCCTTCTCCAGATCTTGAGCTTGGATCTTGTCAAAATGTTGTAAATTCAAGTCTCTAGTTTGAACTCGATTCGTGCAAACAAGTAAAAGTTCCATAGACTTCACTTGGCCTGTATTCTTGTCATACTGAGGGTGAGTTATTGTGCTGCCCGGTGCTCTGTCAGACAGGAGCAGTAATAGTATATACAGAGTACACAGAGCCTGTCTGTGTGTCTGTGTGGTGTCTGACACACTTTGTGCTGGAACTGTTCCCTGCGACACAGTTCCTACGACACCTTCACTTAGATGCGGGGTTAGTTTCAGCTCTTGTTTCCTTAGCTGGCATCTCTCCCTCTCTCTCTCTCTCTCTCTCTCTCTCTCTCTCTCTCTCTCTCTCTCTCTCTCTCTCTCTGCCTTCCTCCCACTTTCTTTTCCTATCTGTGTGTGTCTGTCTGTCTTTTTTGTGTTCCTGGAACTTTGTAACCTCATCATCAGATCACATGAGGATTATCTAAAACACATCTGACAACCCAAGAACTATGAGCAGCGGGTATCCTGAAAATAATTTGAATATGACGTCTCTATCTGTGACTGTTTTAGTCATCCCATAAATGTCACAAGACACTGAAGTCCATTGACCATGGCTGGTTGACGCAAATAGGGCATCTGACATTTAAAAAAGGCCCAGACTGATTATTACCAAATATATTATGTAGCTTTTATTTGTCAAGTCACTACAGAACAACTTTGTGTAAATAAAAATTCAAATATTATGAGATTTTCTGGGCCAGCTACAACCAGTAATCTAACAATAATTGAAATATTGTGATATTGTATTGTCAAAAGTCTCACAATAATATAGTGGGCCGTCACAATATATCGAATCTCAAGTCTCTTCACTTAAATTCATTGTGTTTGTGCAGTAAGACCTAAAAAATAGTGAGAACTACATAGACCATGATCCTTTGCTCTGTTTCAGTCCAATCCACATGCTGAAAATCACTGTTATGAAGCACTTTTAATCTTAATTATTTGGATTATGATGAGAGAAAAGTAGCAGACTCAAGACAGACTCAGACAATTTGTACCTCCACAAAATATCCCAATAAATATCTTACTGTGAGAAGTATATCGTAAGAATATCATATCAAGTGATTTGGATATCGTTACATCCCTAATAATTAGTCTTATTACATCAGTTTTTATGTCCAATCCAGATATCAGCTGAACCTGTAGCAAATGTTTCAGTATCAGCACCAATTTTCGATACCAGTGTCAGTATTGGTGCATCCCTATTGAAAAACAAATCAGCCAAAGAAAATATAATCACAGTTGAAGTGGTGATGTGGTGAAAGTGGAGTAAATATGTCGTGTATACTTGACTAATACACAAATAGAAGTGTGTGGTGATTTCCTGTGTGTGTCCAGCTGTGAGTCGTGCAGTGAGCAGAGGGTGTTGTCATCATAATTGAATACAGTTGTGGCCAGCCTCTCTGTCTCATGTGATCTAATAGTTCTGGGGCATTGCCAGTAGCTGCAATTGTCAGTGAGTAATCTGCTTTGGAAGACTGCATTTCCATCTGCAAATTTTATCGAGCCAAATCAGTTTATGAAGTAATGATATTAGAATGTCAGTGTAGCTACTCGGTACCATGCCCATTTCACTATTTACCTGTTAATACACTTTATAACAGGTAAAACTGGGACTAAACTAGAAATTAAACTATGACTAGAACAGAACCAAACGAAGTCTACAAACATGATTTAACTGGGCCCAAACCAGAACCAAACCAGCACAAGTGAGAAAACAGATCTACCACTATCAGATATCACTGTCTTTTGAGTTTAGTTCTGTTTGTTCACTCTTGAAAATACTAGTACATAATCTCAGCCAATACATCTGCAACTTATATTATCAATGTCCAAATCAAAACTGAATGCATGTTTACAAAAATAGGTGTGTTCTAGGGTGGGATGAGGCACAGTTCCCCAGTTTTCACACGAGAAAGAGACAAGACGAGATTTTGACATAATTGAATACATTTGAATGAACCAAATAAATATATTTTGGGTTTCAGTTTGTACAATCTTTACTTCACCATTTTTATTAACTTTATTGAATATTTTAATGTTATTGTAGCACTTCTTTGTGGCCTCAAATAAGTGCAAGTCATCGACCTTTAACTCTTTTTGTCCAATCCAAATGTAAACACCTTGAACTTTTTTTTTTTTTTTTCCTTTCGTGCACAGTTTTATGGCAATTTTTCGCAACATTTTGTGGTACAGTGCCTTTTGTTGTATGACATAATTAGGATGTGTAGTGGGTGGGCGCTGGCTGTTTTTTTTTCTTTCACTTCTTTCCAAGGTGAATTGGGACTGAAATAGGGTTGGGCAATCGAACACATGAATTAGATGAATCAGTGTTTTTAATTATATACTAAATGAAAAATTACACATTTGTGAAATTGATGTTTATTGTGAAAAAAGTTTACTCCTACTTTTTTATTAGCGGAACATTTTTCTGAGCAGGGGACACAGAGAGAAAAAACAGCATCACACATAGACTGGATAGAGATAGAGGCCTTGGGTTGGGCCTAGAGTTGTGCCAAAAATAGAAAATTAATGCTAGATTGTGATCTAAACTTCTTTCATTGTTCTCGAAGATAAGACAAGTACATTTTAAACACCAGGTCTGCAGCCAATCATGTGCCAGTAAGAGCATGTGGTGTTGAAGAGGAGTCACCGCTCTGTTGTTTAGGAGAAAGCTCTGAATCTAAATCTGCACAATCTGACTTAAAATCCAGCGTCTCCTTCCCTCTTCCTCTGTTCCTGTTCCTCTTCTCTCTTATCATTATAATCCAAGATACAGAAATTACACCAACTATAGTGACTGTTGAATCAAAAATCTTAATAAATTGGGGGGAAAAAAACTCTTAAATATATTTTTTTCCCCCCATATTGCTCAGCCCTTGTTGGCGATAGAGAATGCAGCTATAAAATTTAATTGACCTACAAATGTAATTGAAGGCAGTCTACAATTGCCTAACTACTGGGACATAACAAGAATGTTTGAAAGACAGCCAACAGTGACTTCAATTAAGATAAATTAGAATCAAAAATCACCCACGTGCAACAAAAAGTCGAGAATTTACTTTTTGGACATATAGCCCAGTCTTAGACTGAAACCACTCCAGCTGTTACACCTGCATGTATCCTTTGTATGGAGAAGGTAGAATCTAGATGCAAATAAATAAATAAATGTTGGTTGTTTCCAAATTAGAGATGATGATGCATGGTTTGAAGAGGGCCAATGCCACTACATAACATCATGACATAACAGTGGGCGCCGGTCAGCCAGTTCACTTCACTTTACCCTCTCCTCTCAGTATTTCTGGCTCCTCTCCCTCTGCGGTGCACTCGGATGTCTGCGTTTATCCAGAAGAATTGGCCAAGCGGTGCCAATAGCCGCTCTACATGTGTTTTCCCTCCCTTTGAAATCACTTCGAGCCGTGATCTGAATTATTATGATGTTATTGTTATTGAAAGAGAGGCTTTAAACTTACACAAAGTTACATCATGGGCCTGACCTGCAGCATAGGCAGGCGTCTGGTCCAAATCAGAGGGAGGTAATGAGAATAATGAGGAGAGCTTTGGAGTGTGATTCAGAACATGGGCAGGGTGTGCAGATCCTGTTACTTTTAATGTGTGGAAACCAAATAGTTGTTTACAGGGTGCAGTAAATTTTGAAATGAAATCCTGCGTCAATAAAGTGTTCTGTTCTCCTTGTTTCACACTGGCCAACTGATTTGTTTCTAATCAGTCTTACCTTAAACAAGAGTTCATTTGCAAAAAACACATAAATTACAGTTTTAAAGCATCGTTAGAGGCTTGCAGTTTACTCGGTGTATAATAATGTTCTCAAAAGCCAAATGTATTTTACTGTAATTACTCAAAAGAAACAATTGTTCCAAAATAGACATCGTTTTTGTAATGAAACCTTTCCCTAATAAATAACTTACTCAGTTTCTCAACACTGTAACTCTCATTGAGACTGAGAGACTTTATGCTACTCTTTATTAGACTTGTCAAAAGTATCAGAAATCAGATACTAATCAATAT